TTATTAAAAAGAGGAGCAGACACTTACGAATTTCCACTGAATAGCGTCGTTTTCAAGTATTTGTTTTAGATGTAAGCGCATCTCTCGACTGTGCACGAAGACAACACCATCTGGACTAAATCGTTTAATGTCACCATCAGATCCGAATAGATGTATGGTTTTGCGTTTATGCAATGAATCACTCTCCCTTTGATCTGTGTTAAATATATATATACATACATATGAATATTATTTATTTTTTAAATACAAATAATAGTATCATAATAAATTAAAAGATAAATTTTCGGTATTCTATATAGCAAATAAAATCGAAATAGTAATTTTTTGTGTTAATACTATACTCAGAATTTAATTTAATAACATACGGGCCTGTTACTTATTGCTATAACGCGATTGATCAAATAATAAATGTCGAAACAATTGTAAGAAGTTAAAAAATATAGATAAATAATAATAATTAATAATAAAGATTAACTCATAGTACCTATTTTATGTTTATTAATGAACATTATAAACTTATCTATGATATGAAAAATTGGCTGAAGTTATGTTTATGCTATTTTTGTTAGTAAATATATATTTGTTTAAAAAAAAGGTATAGAGGTATCAAGATTTTATATCTTATAGAGGTATGAAAAATAATAATAATTTTATTCTAGGCCCCAATAAATTCAGTCAATCTTAAAATATTAAATATCACTAACCTTGTATGCAGCATTATTAGATGTGTCATGCGCCCTCCACATCCGTTCCCGTATTCTTGTCAATTCCCATGCAATAATAGGACGAAAAGAATTCTCCTGCACAGCTGAAGAATATGGCTGGATTTAAGGGACGATAAGGCAATGATTTCTAAGGGCGGAGCAATTGCAACAGGCCCAGCATTCCTTAATGCGTTGCGCTGTTGTGTGTTGATTAAACGACAGATGGCCACTATATGACTTCTGAGTTTGATTAGTGGTAATTATTTGTTGTTGCTGTGGTATTATTGCTGCAACTGTTGTTGTTGGGCTTGATTATTGTTAGCACGTTGATTGTAGAATTGTCTCATTTGACTTGAATGTGACATTACATTGCCATTTGTCATTGGATTGTACATAGTTGTTAAGACTGGTCGCTGTGCAAAGGGCACTGTCAAACAACTCATTTCTGATACCCTGCACTTTAAAACAGAACTTGAGATGTTCCAATTTTCTAATTTTACAGCCCGCCGTCTTAGGTTTTCTGTTTCACCTTCAAAGTAATAGAGCGGGACATATTTTTGGTCATCTTTAATACAATATGGCACAACACAGAGTTAATACGAATAAAACCACATTTCTCTCTTGCACATTTTATGTATTTTATGTATTAGTTATGGTCATAATATGTTGATTGCAGAAGTCTACAAGGCGGTCTCCTCTTTCATTTCTAGTTCCTAGACCGAATGCACCTACTTCTTGACCCTCTGCACCTTCTCCTTTTCCTAATCCTCCAATACTTGATCCATACTGATTTACTAGGTATTTTAATGTGGTGGACTTCTTCTCCTTCCGCATCGCAGTTGATGAGCCAGTACTTTGAGTAACTTCAAGCTGCCTCATCAATTCCTTCCATTGCCGTTAGTTAGACTTCTGACTAGTTATTAGTTGTGTATCAACCACCTTAGCTGGCCAATATTCCTCAAAATTAGACATATTTTAATCGCCGCACCTGCATCACCCACCTAACCAGCTGTGCAAAATAGCTATTTCGTTGAACCCTGAAAATTCAATAAAAATTCAATATAAAAAATTGTTAATTTACTAATATATATTACATAGCCCACAATGTAATATTAATACCCACCATTGAATTCAAACAATTAATTATTATATCACACATGCAAAACTTGTAGTCAATACTTTTATTAAATTATAAATTAACTTTAATAAAGCATCAAAATATATTAAATTATAAAATTATCCAACATAGTAACAGCTGGACTCTTAATTTTAAAACAATTTCAAATAAAAGAAAAGCAATATACTTTATTTTATAATTATTATTTATTAATATATCAGCATTACTTTTAGTCAACAAAAAAGTGTAAAAAAAAACGTTAATTGTTTGAATTGCCAACTGAGGAATAACAATAATTAATCCATTAGTTTATAAAAATTATTTGTGTTAAATAATAATACAAAAAAGTTATTTCTTTAATGGAGACAAAATTATAAAATACAAAATAGTTTAGAGCATGTGCTTTGAACTACATATAATTGGTTTAGTATTTCTATATAAGGGGTTAGGAATAAGTGGGGAAAAAAAATTAAGAAAGTTGAAAAATAAGTACCGCATTATAGCACTGGGCAGCTATACTTTGATTTCTGGCTGCAATAGAATAGCCACAAGTTGAGGGCGGCTGAGCATGAGTGCTATATGAATCAACCTGCAAAAATATTATATATTTATTATTATTATTATGAATTAATGACAATTATAATATCAAAATATATGTTATGAATAGTTCAATAAATAAATTTAATAAGTTAATAACATCTGTAAAAATACATTAATATTAATTTAAAAAAAGTTTATATTATTGGGTCTAACTTTTGTCAGCTGACATTATTTTCGGAATTTTTATAACCCCTTGGCTATTTGAAGACTTTAGGGCAACAACATGTTCATGTTTTGGCCAAAATCACTTTATATCGTCATAAAATATATAAAAAAAATCTGCATCGATTGATGTAACAATGAGATATGTCTGACTGTTACATATGAAGTTATAATATGTCTTGTCGTTGTGTGGTGCAACAACAAGATATTTCCAGAAAAATACATATTAAATAAAAATGTAATTTTGGTGTAACAACAAGATATGTCCAGAAAAATACATATTAAATAAAAATTTAATTTTGGTGCAACAACAAGATATGTCCAAACAAGTTATTAAAAGGTATGTATGTAACTAAATTCTACTATTTTTTTAAAAAAAATTCTAATCTTTTTATTTGGAATTTACAATGTTTTTTTTGTCTGTTGAATAATTTTAAAAAAGGACATGTCTCGTTGTTGCCCCAAAGTCTTCATTTGAGAGTTGAGGGCTTGAGGCTTACTAATAATAAATAGATTTGAATAAATTATTTGATCAACTGAGTTAATTGTAGATAACTAATGACAGTTGTTATTATTTATTTATTTGTTTCTTGTTTGCTTATTTATTTTGATTGTTTGTTTAATCATTTATTTACGTATTATTAATTATAAGTATTGTTGTTATTATATATTTAAATAGGTTTCATCGACGAATTTATTATTCACTTACCATTTAAATTTATTTTACTCTAGTGTGTCAATTACATTTTAATTCTGTTTATTTTTTCTGTTTATCCTGAATTCGATACATTATTTAATAGTCGTTTGAGGTTAACCAAAAAAACAAATGAGACCATCCTATTATTGTTTTGTTATGGTAACACTGTAATCTATCATATTCATTTGTATGTGACTGTGTGTGTAATTAGTCATCTCCCTCGCGTCTCGCTTGTTTTGAGTTGCCTCGTCAATTATGTTAAATAAATAAATGTCAAACAATATTATTTTTGTTTACTAACTTCAAATACAACATGGTGTCAGGTGTTGATTCATTATGGGTGGAAAAAAGAAGGATCAAGCAGATAAATCTGGATCACAACATGATGAGTCAATAAACAAGCCGCAACCAACCACGTGCACTGATACTCAAATTTCTACAAAAACATTTACAATGTCGTCAGGTCTTATTGGTAATGTAAATCAACTATCCTTCGATGGAAATTTATGTCAAAATTGGTCCGATTGGTTGCAAGAGTTCAACATTTATTTGATTGCGAGTGGCTATGATAGTTATTAAAAATAACTCTAGTAATGATAATTTACTTTTTATTGGTTCTATAATTGATCATAATAAATATTATGTTTGGCAAATTGTATTACAAATTAATAATAGATATGTGAATTTTCAGTTAGATACAGGTGCCCAAGCTAATATAATGTCAATTGAAATTTTTAAAAAAAATGAATATTTCTGTCAGTAGTATTAAAACACAATCTATTGTAAAATTAATGGCTTTTAACTCTAATAAGATATCCACTTTAGGTAAAATAATAGGCAATAACTAATTTACCATCACCAAAATGTGTAAAATACTTACAAAGGTTTCTAGGCATGATTAATTATCTAGGTGCGTACATACCTAATTTAGCTGCCGAATCAATTATTCTGCGTGACTTGTTAAAAAAAAAATTCATTGTGGCAATGGGATGACAATTTTGAAAAAGCATTTTGTCATTTAAAAAATATTATATCAAAATTTCCTGTTTTAAGTTATTTTGACAGTTCAAAACCTATAACGTTATCAGTCGATGTTTCAAAAAATGCTGTAGGTGCAGTTTTGCTGCAAGATAATAAACCTTGTGCTTATGATTCAAAGTCATAAACTGAAAGTCAACAAAATTTTGCTCAGATTGAAAAAGAATTATATGCTATAATGTTGGGTTGCACTAAATTTCATCAATATTTGTATGGTCAAACAATTACTGTGCAAACTGACCATAAACCACTAATTACATTATTTACAAAACCTCTTCATTCTGTACCTGTCCGTCTCCAACGCATGATGCTTAAACTACAATTTAAAAGTTACTTTTTTTGTTCCTGGTAAATTACTAATAATTGCTGATACTTTGTCTAGAGCAGCACTTCAAATAACTGAAGTTGATGAAATTGAAGATGATATAATCTTAAATGTTCAAAATTTAATTTTAAATATAGCAATTTCAAAAAATAAATTAGATTTGATTAAAAAGAAACACAAAATGATTTGGTATGTAAAAAGCTTAGTGAAGTTATACAAAGTGGGTGGCCAAAAAATAAGAATTTAATTGAGGAAATTATTAAACCCTATTGGTCTTTTAAAGAATATTTATGTGTAATAGACAACTTATTATTTAAAAATAAAAGTTTGCTTATACCTAAAAATTTAAGACCAGAAATGTTAAAAATAGTTCATGAAGGTCACATGGGGATTGAAAGATGTAAAAATTCAATAAGAGATTTAATATTTAGGCCTAACATAAATTCTGATATAAAAAATATTGTTGAAAATTGTAAGGTATGCATGAAATATAGAAATAATAATTCTAAAGAACCTTTAATACCACATGATATAACTCAAATACCTTGGTTTAAGTTAGGAACTGATTTATTTCACTTTGATAATAAAATATATTTATTGGTGGTAGACTATTATTCTAAATTTAAAGAAATTGCACATTCAACATCAGGATTTACAAGTACTTCTGTTATTCAACATCTAAAATCAATGTTTGCTAGATTTGGAATACCATTTTCAATAGTGTCTGATAATGGTCCACCATTTAGTTCATTAGAATTTAAACAGTTTATGTCTGAATGGGATATAGAACATATCACTTCAAGTCCACATTATTATCAATCTAATGGTTTAGCAGAAAGATCAATACAGTCAATAAAGAAATTACTAAAAAAATTTAAAAAAAGTAAAACTGAAAATATATATATATAGCTTTAATGCATAATCGAAATTCTCCTAAAGGTAATTTATGTTCTCCATCTCAACTATTAATGTCAAAATCAATTCGAACAAAATTACCTGTTCCCATAGATAACTTAAAACCTAAATTAACTGAATTAAGTGATTACCAAAATAAAATAAAATAAAAAAAACACAGATAAAATAACTTATTATTATAATAAAAAAACAAAATATTTAACAAATCTTGCAGTTGGTGAAAAAGTTGTATTTAAATTAGTACCCAATGGTCCTTGGATTAATGGTAAAGTGATTCAAATTGATAAATATCCTAGATCTTATGTAATTGAAGGTGAAAAGGGGGGCAATTATAGAAGAAACAGAAAACATTTAATAACTTGTGCTTCAACCACTTCTAGAAAAAATAATTATGAACAACCTAACTTAAATTTAAACATAGATAAAAAATCTACTCGTTCTGGTAGAACAATAATTAAACCTAAACGGTTAGATTTATAAGCCATAATTATTATTAAGTAATTACATATTATATTAATTATTTGTTTTACTATATATTTTATGTAATATGTTATTTTTTCTTGTATTATCATCATTATCATTATATATTTTGTATTATTATCCTAAATTATTATTATATTCTTATTACATTACATTTAAAAAAAAAAAAAAGAAGAAGGAAGATGTTGTGTTAAGGTAACACTGTAATATATCATATTCATTTGTATTTGACTGTGTGTGTAAGTAATCTCTCTCGCGTCTCGCTTGTTTTGAGTTGCCTCGTCAATTATGTTAAATAAATAAATGTCAAACAATATTATTTTTGCTTACTAATTTAAAATACAAGTATTATTAATAGCAATATAAATTTATATTTATATTATTAGGCCTCAACACATGATAATAACTATAATAATAACAATAATATCGAATAAATTATAATAATCAATATTAATCAAGATAACTAAACCGAGGACGGTATAGTAGTGGTGGGTCGTTACTACTGTACTAGGTACAATGTAACGATTACATTGGTGGAACGCGTAGGAATGAGTACATTTATTGTTCCACGTTCGAACATTCAGTACAAAGTTACCAACTACAAAATGGTCCCCATCAGGGTACACCGACATCGAGTCTGTACCGAATACGGATAATTCCCACCACTACGGTATCGCCTACAATCTTGTCCAACACAATAAAAAAATTAAAACCAAATTACGTTACGTTACATTGTTATAATCATCAATTTAATATCGTTACCTTCGTTTGCTGGAACGCTGTTTACAGAAGCCATTTTTGAAGTGTTCATCGAGTCAAAATAACATAAAGCATTGGTAATGGCAATTGAAAAAAAGCAGATAAAGACTGGCGAAAAACCAACTACGTCGACAACTGTATAAATATTAAATTATAATAATATTATAATAATTATTCAATGAACTACACCGAACGGGTCACGCAGTGCTGTCGGTGGCCAATTCGAGGACAACGGGAAACCGTAGAACGATGAGCACGTGGCGGACAACGAGCTACGCGCGGCAATGTCGACGGACGAGTGTCGAAGGAATATGAACTGCCAGCTCGTTGGCGCGGTGTGGGATCGGTGGACGGGCAGCGGATCGAGGAGGTTGCCAACATAACGACATAATACCAGGCGCCCGTTGGCGTGACCAACTCACTTCCCGCGACCCGTACCCACTCAAAACCAACGGTCATGCTCTGGTGGTGTGGCGAAATCCAATTCGCGATAGAAAGCGAAGCGGCTGACATCTGGTGGCGGCGGCATGAAACGTTGTAACGGGGCCGACAAGCCCGACATGAAAACTGAATAGGTCTATGAATACAAAATATATTGAGAATTTATCATAATTTATTAACCACGAATAGTTTTAGATTCTGAGTGAAACGATGAATGGTATTGATTTGACAATGATGTGTGTTTTTTTTTTTTTTTTATTTTTTTTTTTTGTGTCTGTGTACACGATAAGTAGTCGAAATAATGCTTCGATTTTCGACTTCAGTATCTTGTTCGATTGGAAAGTGAATATCGTTGGTGCATTGGGGAGGTCAAAATTAAAATTTCACAGTAGTTTTCAAAAGCGCCGGGAAAAACAAAAGAAAAATTACGGAAAAACGGGAATTTTTACGCAAAATCGGTTTTCCAAAAAATCGATTTTGGTTTTTGGTGTAACTCTAAAAGAAATGAACGTATATACATGAAATTTTCACTGGTTGTTTGCATTTGCATTTGCATTTTCTATATACGATAACATTTTCAAAATATTTTGATTTATTTTGAACTGTTTAGGGACATTTTCATTTTTCATTTTTTTTAGTTTTTTTTCTAGAAATATCAATAACATTTTATTTGTTGGTTGCGAAAGCTTGAAAATTTAATAGAAGGCTCCTAATACGTTGTTTCAAAGGCAGATGAAAAATATTAAAAATCCTTAGTCACAATTTTTTTTTATAAGCATTTAAAGTTCAAAAATTGACAAAATATGGAAAAATCACGAAAATTAGCAAATTATTTTGAGTTAAGAATTCGTAAAAATTTTTCTTTTTAAATCTAAGATTTGAAAATGTAATACAAGATTACTCATAAGTTTGTCTACCTTTATCAATAAAAAATCTCTACCGGAAAGTCAAATTAAATTTTTATGAGCGTTTGAAATTCAAATTTATACAACATTGGATATTCACTCGATTTCTCATGTGGCGATTTCCTTATTTTGTTGTAATTCAAAAACGAATTACTGTAGATACATGAAAATTTCACTAAATGTTTATATTAGCATTTCCTATACACCATACAATTTTGAAAATATTTTGACTCTTTTTGAGCCGTTTACGGACATTTTCAGTTTTCAATTTTTTTAGTTTTTTTTTTCTATAAATATTAATAAAGTTTTATCTGTTGAGCCAAAAAGTGTGAAAAATTAATACAAGGCTCCTGATATATTGTTACAATATTAATTGAAAAATATTAAAAATACATAGGCACAATTTTTTTTTATAAGCATTTAAAGATCGCATTTTGACAAAATTTATCAAAATCTCGAAAATAATCAATCATTGTAATTAATAAATTATAAAATGTTCAGTTTTTATAGCTAAGGATTGAAAATTTAAAAATCTAAAAAATATATGAGCACAGTTATTTTTTACAGACATTTTAAGTTCAAATTTGGGACGAAATTACATAATCAAAAACCTAGCATACCTATTTTAGTTATTTTGTTGTGAGTGTATAATACTATTCGTGGGTACTTGAAACTTCTAAAGTACACTACATTATATATCTATGATAGTATCAGGGTTTGTTATTGATGTATAACGTGTTATAAGTACCTAATGGATATTGTGATATGATTAATTTGGAATTTATTATAGGTCAATTTTTTTTTTAATACCATAGATATGTATATAATATGTCTTAAACCTAGACTGACATACCGTCTTCGCTCAGAATCGTTTTTCTTATACAATGATATTGTATCATTGGATTCAAATTTAATAATTAATACCATCCATTATACAGTGACCCACTTGTAACCTACTGTACAGCAGAGCGACATCCACTTACCCACCTTTTTTAATTTTGATTACGTATTGTGATCCATATTCCATATTATAATTATTATGAAATCGGCCCTTTACTAGTTAGAAGCTGCTCAATCAATGGTCGCTTAAAGTCACCAATAAAACTTAAAATGTCCGTTAGTTCAACAACCGAAGTAAACATTTTTCTCAGGTATTGACCGTATTGTAATCGAAATAATAAAATAAATGAAATTGTTCATATAAAACAAATTAAATTAATAAATAATAATTGTAATGTGAAATAGATTATTATACTTTTATCAACATACACAGTGGCCCCGTTAGTAAAATTGACTACAGCGCCCCTATATTTGCTTTCTATCGCGAATGGTGTCAGCCCTTCGCCGTCTGCCATAGGCAGCGACCGCACTGACTAGCTAACCAGACTAACCAGGCTACCGACGCGCCAATCGTGCATACTTCAAAGTTTTTCCCAAACAGTGTACCAACACGGGAACGATAATAATTTATTTTCCCGGCAAAAACGATATACCTTTTTCCTCCACAAAAAAAAGTGGTTTAAATTTTCCTCCACATTAATTTAGAATGAAATTATGTCTATTTTCCTCCAATATTTTAGTAGTCCAGTCATATTAGGTTTTCAGCTCGGAAAAATTCCCACTTAGCTGAATTTTGGTACACACCTTTATGACATCGTTTTAGAAAACGTGTGAAAAGTCGACATCTGTCTCATGTACTCGTCAAAGGTTATTCGAGGTTAAAGGCCACACCTTTTTTTTAATATCCCGCTTTTTATGAGTCGTACAGTAAAAAGTTATAAATTGTAGAGAAATTAATTATCAAAAAAAAAGTTTTTATGACATTTTCAGGTAAAGTTATAGTTTTCGCGTTATAAGGCCATCAAAATGTACACTTTTAATGAAATATGAATTTTATGATAAAAACAAGTAGCCATTGCATTAATATCTAGCTTTATACTGGTTGTACAAAAATAATTGTCATACAAAAATTGTGGAGGACAATATTATTCACAAGATGGTTATATCCAATCGCACTTGTGGTATACGAATTTTAACGTTTACCGTACAAAATTACAATAGTATTATATATTATATATTATATATACATATTAGGGGGGTATTTATAGCTATAGAGGTCAATTTTTTTTTTTGAAATTTGATGAGAAGTGCCTCAAATTGTATTCTATGTATTAAAAAAATAATTATGATAAAGTTTGAGCGTGTTAAGTCTACCCCTTACTTTCCCCTTCGTTTTCGGAGGAAAATGGCTACTGCCTAATTTATTATTCCTTTGAATACCACTACTCCTCCGATTCCCGGTAATTGAGCTACGAAAACGTTGTGCGTTCGCTTCCTCTCTGCCGCCCTGCCATAATAATATAAAGAACTGTGGCAAACTGTGGCAAACGGGAGGGCTTATTTTTAATTGTATTGCTATTATTCGATCGTTGTGTAACTCGCATCCGACTGTGAGATAGCAGAAATGACCTTGCGATGGTATACCGTGAAGGTAATTAATATAAACATGTATATAAAATATGTAAAATATACAATAAATTACATTGTATGTATACTAAATTATTGTAGGTTTTAATACATTATACAAATTAGAGATGTTCCGGGTACCCGGAAATTACTCGATGGCCGGCGTAATACCTACATTTTTCCCCGGCCCTTGCTCGGTACCCGGCGAAATACTACATTTTTACTCGACTCATATCCAATGGCAAAAGCTGACAATCTCTTTATAAATATATGAATATTTACCTAAATTAATATAACGGGAAAAATCTAAAATTCACAAAATACTTGTTGATCTGTGTGCAGGAGTGGGAGTGGTCAGTGCACAATTAGGTGGGGATAGTAGTGAGCAGGGCTAGGATTTTAATAACCCAAAAAACCTAAAAAAATGAC